AGAAACAGCGTCACACACCGACGGCTGCGCTCGCACCACGGCGCCGTGTCTCATACCTGAGGACCGGGCATGACGGGTCTTAGCGCCTCGGAGCAGCATCCGGCTACCATGTTCGCGAGTGACACAATAGAGCATTATTCCAGAGCGTTCGTCGCCGAGGATGCCCGGGAATATCACACCACGATCGTCATGAAGATCGACCAGAACGTCAGCTTGCAGTACGCGATACCCGTAGACACCGGAGAGTCAATTCCCCGCGACATGAAGTTGCGATTGGTCGTGGACCGCCACGGCAATCGCTTTAAGACTGCGTACGCCATTTGGCGCACTTTTCGCTCGTATACACTCACAACAGGAGAGTGTAGTGCCCCCAGTCGAGCCGTTGCCTTTGCCAAGGCTATGTCGACCGCAGGGGTGCTGTGGAGTATGCATTCCAGCAGCATCGCGCTGGGTGTGAGGATTTTGTTGAAGAGTGCTCGCAGTCGAAAACCGAGCCCAGCGAGAGACTAGCCTGTACTGGAGACTCGTCGTCGCCGTCCCGCACCGCTGTGGTAGCCAATGCAGCATCGGACGACGGCGATTCTCGATTGCCGAGCCAGTCTGCATACGATAGACCAGCGGATACGCAGATGGCCGACGTGTTACCTGCATGTGTCGAGGCGGGGACGTCGCCGTCCGGCCCCATCCGCGTAGGCGATACAGCAGTGGACTTGAATGAAATAATCAATGCACCGGAAGAAGATGGAAATGCAAGCGAGGATTGATTGCATTCGGTCACACAACCTCGTCAGGAGGAGGAGTCAATTTCTGATCCTACCCCACCCGATACCATGAGCTCCAGTGCGTCCATTTCGAGCGGTCGAGATCACAGCGATGGTGGAACCGCTGATGACGGTACAGACAGAGAGATACCACGCGAGGAAAACACGCTGTCTGCAACGTGTCCCTGTCAGTCGGTGCCAACTGACCAGGAAGTGCTCGATGCTCGTGAATACATACGTTCATTTCCAACACGGCTCGAAAGGGCGAAGATCCGCCACCAGGCCAAGAAGTGTGCACGCACTTGGCACGTCCCGCGTTCGCGAAAACGGCGGCATCAGATGAAATGCGCAATTGCGCGCAGTGGAAACCAAATCCATCGTGCCCGGAGTGTTCAGGCGAAAACAATTAAAGCAATACTCAAGAATGAAGAAGTTAAGCTACGATTGATGAATTTGCACGCGTGGCGACCTGTTTACGTGACCCCCAGTATTCAAGGCCAAGTTACACTTACGGAGGTGCCTTGGCCTCCAGAAATTCGCGAGATCAACGCGTGCGAGACCTTGGGAGTCAAGTTTCCAGACGTCGGTGCAGTACTCAAGTGCCGCTGCGTCGGAGAATGTTTCTGGGATAGCTGCGATAATATCGACTCTGATTTCTACTGTTCCCCGGTGTGCTGTAATGGAGGGGCTGCAGCAACGCCCCGATCGTACTCTAAACCTTTTGACACTGGGCGCGTCGGTCTAGGTGTGTACACTACGACGCAGCTCGACGTAGGAGACATCGTCAGCGAGTACACGGGTGTAAGTGAGTGGGAAGGCAAGGTGGACGGCCAGCCCAAACAGGCTTTGAAGCAAAACAGTGGCTATACGCTACTCTACAGCGCCAAGTCCACCAAAAAAGAAGTTTGTCAACGTGGAGACCTTTTCAGTCCGTGTCCATTGCGCGCTTCGTCAGTCACGCCTGTGATCCCAACGCTGTAGTTGTGGAGATGCAATACCGTCGCAACGAAACGATGCCCTTAAGATGATCAAGGACGTCAAGGCAGGAGCTGAGATAACCGTCCACTACGGAATCGAACGTTGGTTCGTGTGTGCCTGTGACGACTGTTGGGAAGGAATTCAAGAAGAAGATGACGAGTAAGTATGATTCGTTAGAAATGCTCGTGCGTAGTTTGTTTAACTGGTCCAAATACAAATGAAAACATTTTCAGTGCTGTCGTCTACTGTGATCCAGAGGTGCTGAACAGCTCAGTGCCGAGGTATTAACAGTTTCCATTTTCGACCTTTTCCAAGACGATCGAAACGATACAATTGTCATTGTTAATTTGAGCAAACACTGGAATCAAGTGTCGTGGCCTCCGTTCGTGCGAGGAATATTGAAAAATGATTTTTTCTCATTATTAGACCATAAAGTACAAGTATGCTCTTCAATGCATTTACCAACATCTTCAAAACGTTAGATATGAAACATTCAGGACTGTTAAAGTAAAATGCTCGAATGACTCATGTTACCTAAGTTAAACTGAATTAACTCCTACCAGAATACGACACTAACACTGAGAAACCCTGGTGCTAGATCACTCAAAAGTGAGTGCGGGACCTGCACTCCGAGGTTGACCAGCAGCCTCGGAGTCGCCATCCTTGCGTTTGCGCTTCTTTCTGCTAACCAAAATGTTACGCCCTTGGCTATCCACACTCGCCGTCACTCGCATTGCGTACATCACATGCAAGCAAGTGCCAAACACAAAGCAGTAGTGGCAGGGACACCACTGCCTCTCAACAGCAACGTTCCAATCACCGTCCGGTTGATATAATGTCTCCATCCTAGCGTAATCCACGCCCATTTGAGCGGAAACAGCGATATCCTCCTCACTTCTTTTATTAGGAGCCATCACTGCAGGTGGAGCAAGCAACGCCTTCACCCGGACGATCTCCGGGGGTCCAGCACAGTCAGATTCATTTCCATTCGCATCAACAGTAGACAATAGGCGAGAGCGTTCCAGCTCGGACACCCTGCGTGTGAGTGTTTGCGCTGGAATGACACCGAACGCGAATGCCCTTGCACTGGCGGACTACTCTTGGCAGCATGCACTCAATTCCCTTAGTAGAGTCCCCATTTAAGGCGGCGGTGCAACGTGTAGTCTCTCTTGAGCACTGCATTGAACGTCTCTGCAGGATTATTCGTAGTAGCGAAGCCACTGGAAGTAGCATACGCTTGCCATGTACTGAAGGGTCCTTGTAGCCATTGAGCGTTCATGTACTGAGAAAAGAGATAAAGTCGCGGGTCGTTTTCCCACGTCTCCAAAATTGAGTCCCTCTTTCACAAAATTATTGTTCGGTCCGTGCGAAGTGAAGATCATAGATATCTTGCTCTACACTTACAGCTAGATGCGATGAAAATGACTTGATCACGCTCTGAACTTTTTCCATCACGCGGAAAAAGCACATAAGAAATCGAAATCTTGGTTTAAATCCAAAAGTCGTGTATAAAGCGTTGTGTTGTGCCTTGGCTCCGTCTGCCATTGCGTATTGCACTACCTATTCCTCGCCAGTAACCCCCGAATAGAGCCTGCGCATGGCTAGTAGCGCAGACTCGTACACAACCTGCGTCTCTTGGGACACAATGAAGATCGCGACTAGGTGGAAGCGCCGAGAGCGATCGGACACTCCAACTACAACGACAGGGTAGTCCACGTGGCTCATCTTGTAGGTAGCGTCGACGTGTAGCACAAAGCTCTCAAGAGGAAGCATCATCCGCAGTAGTAGAGCATTAGTTGTAAGCCCTATAATAAATGGTTTTTCACCTGATCCATCTCCAACCACTAGTCTTCCGTCACAGTCGTAGTTCCAACCGAACACAAATGATTGAGGCATTTGCTAGGAGCCATTGAAGACATGAGCATGAATCCACGCCGTCAGCTCCTTGAGACGATCGTGATTCTCCAAGTAGGTTCTGGAATAGTGGTTTACAAAGTTTTGCACCGTTGAGAGGGAAGACATGTCGTCTAGCGGTGTGCTGAACTTGCGTGACAGCGCAATGCGGAAACGCATCGGTCGTAGGTGCTTATTGGCCATATCACGGTAGAAACGTTTCTGCGTTTCCGTTAATTTTTTTGCGTTTTGTAACCTCAGCGGTAGTCAAATGCTCGCCAAACTCGTAGATGCACGCAGCATTAGTCTCGCTGCATGTCACCACCTTGCCCCGCCACGAATATTTCACCGAGATGACCTCGCCGGCCTCAGCAAACGCCTCACACGCGCATCCCCAATAGTCTGTACCGCATTTTATGCTCAGAGTCGTAGCATATAGTGCACGCTATGCTGTTGATCTTGGTGATGTCGAAGGCCTTTAAGCCGTCGGGCACCACGTCCGCGTCAGTTTCGCTAACGTTCAGGGCCGCATCCCGCCAAGGGATACGCTTTGGCATCTCTCCTCGGGCGGAACGTCGAGAATAGCGTCCTTCTCGTAGATTCACAAAATCAGCCGGTGCAACAAGCTGGGTTTAGAGGTGCTGTTGGCTAAGATAAACTGTTTTCAGCTGCATCATGGTGTTTATGATTGGGTAAATTAAGATAGTGTGCACTGAATGACGACCTCACGGCAAACGACGTGATTGGATAGCTTAGTTGTTGGCTTCCCTGTTTGTGCACCGATACAGAAAATAAACAATTGATCAAACTCAACGATTTGTTGTGTGCTGACACAGCACTCTGGGGTGGTGACAGGGATAGCATACTCTCAGGGAATCCCACCGGGACCTGCTGGGAATTGAGTGGGATTTAAGTGGGAATTGATTGGGAATTGAACTTTTTTTTGTACTGGTACCTTGGCAGTAGTCGCATAGATGCTGCGAAGTAGTGGTGCTTTGTCTTGGTTAAAGTAAGCAGGTTATCGGTACCAAAATGGTGAATACCGATTTCCTGTGAAAGCCCAGTAATTCCCACTTTGGTAACCGGGAATTGGGGGGCAGACGAGACTGGGGCCAAATTCAAAACAAGGTATTTTCTATTCGAGAGTCCCCTATCTTGTTTTGCACATGCAGATATTTCTCAGCTGTACCTGAATTATTCTTCGCGATCCGTGATTGGAGGAAAACTCAACTTCTTAGCTTTTCAGCCTTTTAACTGAGAAAAACCGGTACTTCATTTCAGTACCGATATTAGTACTTGATCCATGCGGAGGTCGCTTAAGTACGACGTCGGCTGGTTGAATGGCGAGCGATAGTCTGCGATAGTCTGGGGCGGTGTCATTGGTTGTTCCTTTTGATCGCCGTGGTCTTCCCAATAGTATATCTGTAGCTGACGATGTCGGCCGTGGACGTGGCTTCCTCCTCCTCTCCTGTCGAGACCGACGACGCCGGCAGGACGATGGTGGCCGTGGGCGGCATGCAAAACATGGCGTGGGCCTCGGACACTTCCAAGTTTGGTTTCAAGATGCTGGTCAAGATGGGCTGGTCGGCCGGGAAGGGTGTGGGTAAGGAACTACAGGGTCAGGCCACGCACGTCAAGATTGCACGCCGCTCGGAAAATTTGGGCGTGGGCTGCAGTCTCAAGCAGGCGGAAGTCCAGGGCTGGTCGCAGACGGCTGGTGGCTTCGCGGACGTGCTCAAGACGCTCAACAAGTCGTACGGCAGTAAGTCGAGCTCGGATGCAGACAGTTCGGACGAGGGATCCAACAGCAGCAGCAGCAAAAAGGCTAAAAAGACCAAGAAGGAGAAGAAGATCAAAAAAGAGAAGAAAGTTAAAAAGGAGAAGAAGGCTAAGAAGAGCAAAAAAGCTAGCGGCGAAAAGGCCACTGTCTCGAGACGGCTGCACTACCGCAAGCGTCAGTCCAACAAGGACGCCAAGAACTACGGCGCAGTCGAGATGGCGGCCATCCTGGGCGTCGCGTCCTCGACCTACAAACCAGCTGCCGAGTAGACCAGACTGTCCTTCCTTTCTTCAAGTTCTTCCAGCGCTGCTGACGCGTCTGGTAAACGACTATTTAGAGCCTGTCAGGCCAATACATAGCAAACTTTCATTGACACTGTGTGTTCCTTGACATGCACCATTAATATTTGAGGCTTCGTAAAACGCTCTTCAATTCAATGGCTTGAAAATTCTTGTATAATATGATTACCTCTACCTTTCAGATATCTATGTAAAAACTGTTAAATCCGATATTGATGGCCACTGGTTGTGAAGAGCCATTGCGGCATTGGCCAGTGGAGCAGGATGGCGAGCGTATTTGTGCGCAATCTGCCGTTTGGCGTGACGCAGGAGGAACTGGAGCACGTGTTCAGCGAAATCGGCCCCGTTAGGAAGATCGATGTCATCAAGGATAAGGGCAAACGCAAGAGCGAGATGCTCACGCGCGGATTCGCCTTCGTGAAGTTGTACGTCTTCAGTTGGTAATGGCGAGAACATTGGCAACATTAACACTCATGCTACGGATACCGCAGTGCCGTGGAGAGCGATGCAGCGGTGGCCGTCGAGAAACTTAACAAAACGGACTTCCAGGGACGCAAGATGCTCATCGGTGTGCTTGCTAGGCTTAATAAAGACCTGAAAGCATTGACTGACCATTTCAATGCTTTGATAGACTATGCTATGGAGAAGGGAAAGCGTCGTGGACTGCCTGGAAAGGAGAAACCTGCTACTGATGAACCCAAGCAGGACGAGAAAGAACAGGAGGATGTACCGATGGGGCAACCTGCACTGCCAGACGAGGTTGAGAAGGCCACGCAGGAGCGGAAGGCTGCGAAAGAAGCGCGTCGCGCTGCTAAGGCTGCCCAGAAAGCAGCGAAAGCAGAGGCCAAAGCTAAGAAAGAGACCGAGGAGATACCGATCGCAGCTGAACTGGAAGAGAAGACTGAACCCAAACAGGAACCCAAGGTTGAGCTCTCGCCTGCCGCTCCCGCTGCTGACTCTGCTGCTTCTTCTAGCCACGTACAGAGTGAGCGAAACGCGCGTCGTCGTCAGCACCGCGAGTTCTTGCGCGATGTGGAGCGTCGTAAGGAGGAAGAGGCCAGTGTGGAGCAAAAGTCGGTCCTGGTCTTCGGTCTGGGCGCTGATGTGACCCAAAAGCATGTGCTTAAAAAAGTCAAGAAGGTTGGCGCTGTAGCGAAGGTTGAACTGAAGGAGGAGACTCGCACCGGCAAGACGTACGCCTTGGTGCAGTTTAAAACGACGAAGGACGCAGCTCTGGCTGTTGCAAAGTTGGATCACCACATCTTCAAGGGATCCGTGCTGCAGGTCAAGATTGCCGCGAAGGCCGTGGTGGTCGATGATAAGGAAGCTGCTGGCAAGCCTGGTCTCCCGAAGCGAGCTGTCGAGACTGAGGGATTGCGTCTTATAGTACGCAACTTGGCGTTCCAGACCACTGACACGGACCTGGAGAAGCTCTTCGAGGTGCATGGTCCGCTGTTCGAGGTTCGCGTCGTGCGTATGCCCGTGGAAGAGGACACGAAGGAGAGCGAGGAGGCCGATGGAGAGACGAACGCTGAGCCGGTACTTGGTCGCAGTCGTGGCTTCGGTTTTGTGCAATACCGTGATGTGGCTGACGCTCGTGCAGCTGTGGAGAAACTCAATGGAACGAAACTCAAGGGCAGAGAGATGATTGTCGACTTTGCGCTGTCCAAAACCAAGTATCTTGAACAGCAGAAGAAACACGAGGAGGAGGCAGTGGCTGCTACGGAAGGAGACGAGGAGGACGAAGAGGCTAATAGCGGAGACGAAGATGAAGATCAGCTCGAAATGGCTACGGACGGTGAGGCTGGCGCTGGATCTGAAGACTCGGACGAAGAGGATGGAGAGGAGGAGGAGGAGGAGGAAGCTGCTTCTGCTCCCAGGGAGGACACAGAGGCCCAACGTGATCGCACACTGTTTATCCGCAATCTGTCCTTCCAGACGTCAGAGGACGGACTGCGCGAATTCTTTCAGGCTTTCGGTGCTGTCGAGTATGCCCGTGTAGTGTACGAGAAGGGCTCCGGGCTGTCCAAGGGCGTTGGCTTCGTTCGCTTTAAATCGGCTGACGTGGCTGCAGAAGTTCTGAAGCGTGGGGAGCAACCGCAAGGTGACGAGAAGAAGAAGCACAAGAAGGATAAGAAGAAGAAGGATAAGGTGTTCACGCTGTCTGCGTTGGCGGCCGGTGGCGATGATGCCTTGACTCTGGACGGCCGTCAGCTTCTTCTGTCCCGTGCTGTGTCCAAGACGGACGCTGAGCATTTGGCTGACTCCAATGCCCGTGAACGTCGTCGTTTGGACAAGCGTAACTTGTATCTGGCATACGAAGGCACGCTTAACGTCAACAAGATGGCAGATGCCGAGCTGGAGCTGCCAAAGATGGACATTGACAAGCGTCGTCGCGCCATCCGCGAGAAGAAGCTGAAGCTCCAGAACCCCATGTACTTCGTGTCGCCCATGCGTCTCTCTGTTCGTAACTTGTCGACTGCGCTGGACGACCGTAAGCTCAAGAAGCTTTTTCATGACGCAGCAAGTGCTGGCGTTTGTGCTGGTAACGTGGATCGCACCGAGATTAAACCAGAGTTGCTTCCGAAGGGGAACCCTCCGGTCAAAGTCCGTATGGCCAAGGTGGTGCGTGACATGGAGTCTGCCAAGGCTGGAAAAGATCCGCGTTCGCGTGGCTACGGCTTTGTGGAGTTTTCCGAGCATTTGCACGCTCTGGCCGCTCTGCGTATCCTCAACAACAACCCCAAGTACACGTCGTACGCTGCTGGCCGAGGGCCTGCTTCTGGAGCTCCTGACAGCACAAAATCACGTCTCATTGTGGAGTTTGCTCTGGAGAACCACGGGAAACTTAAGCTGCGTGAAAAGCGAGCTGCCGACGCTGCTAAGAAGCGCGAGGAGGAGCGTGCGTTGCAGGAAGCACAGGGCGAGGACGGTGACGACGCTGAAAAAGCCAAGAAGAGCCGTGGACAGCGTCAGCGCGAGAAGAAGAAACTGCGCTCACAGGCGAAGGCCGAAGCAAAGGCGGAGACGGATCAGGGCAAGACACAGAAGTCCAAGAAGACAGCGAAGGTTGAAAAGGTGGTGAAGCAGCAGCTCAAGAAGCGGAAACGTGTTGAGCCTCCGCGCGGTGATGCTGCAGATGACGCTTTGGCCTCTCTTGAGACCGCTCACATGGCCAAGAAAGGCAAGACGTTGTCTCGTAGTCAGCGAAAGCACGCGAAGGAGTTGGAGAAGGAGAAATCGTTCGACGAGATGGTGCGTAGCTACAAGAAGAAGATTTTTGGTGAGAAGCCTGTGGTGGCAAAGGGGGACGATAGCACCAAGAACTCCGACCGCTGGTTTGACTAGTTTGACCCACTTAGTCCCTGACCACGCCAAGATGTCAGCCAGGAGTCCACGCACAAATATAGACTGCTTACATGTACATTAGTCCATGTCCTTCTTGACGGCTCCGTCCACCACGTTCTGATCTTCCTACCGCTAGATTTAGCAGGCGATCGATACCTATAAGTACGCTTTAAAGACACGCTTCCCTGTTTCCTCAGACCCTTAGCACGAGTAAACAGCAGTCGTCTTCCACATTCTTCCCTGTAGATGAACACAATCTTGCGACGACTTTCAGAACCTGATTCTGCTTTTGTGTCGGTAGGGCATGAGCGCCGACGCCCAGGCGTGCCTAGATTCGTTTGCGTTTTTCTCCAATACCCCTCTTGTGGTGCAGCAGCCTCCTGCACGTCGACTGCTAGTCGTGATTCCTTTACGGCGTGAGTGTTGCTCTCGGTCATGCGACTCCAGTGCTCGCGTCACGTATTTTACCGCTCTAACGAGTACAAGTATCCATCCGGCTCAAGCAGGTGTAGCTTTTGTCGAGTCGCGTGGTGTGGTGCTATTCGAAGCGGGACAACAACGTGCGCAGCTTGCAGTGGAGGTCCTCCCAGCTCTAGCAGACTCGGGTACACTAGCGCAGCGGGCGTTTGCAGTAAGACTCGAAGCGCCGATGAATGCGTCCACAACAGCTCGTTTATCAACCGAGATTATAATGGAGTCGGCATCTCTATCGAAGAGCACAAACATTTCACCTGGGTCGACTTTAGCTTCTTTGGTTATTATGATGGGGATCATTTCTGTTGCCGGGCTTGTAGTGCTCGCAGCGTACTGGTTTCAAGTACGCTGCAGCCTTCCTCGTCGGGCTCGATCGTTTGAGTACAAGCTCGTGTTGCTGCCTCGTCGTCGCTCCGGAACGAGCGAAAATTTTCTAGTCTCAATCGGTGACAGCACACCGAAGAAGAGCAGCAAGCGTCGCACACCTCGTCGCGTCAGCTCCTTTAAGAATTGGAAAACATTCATCGAGCGCTGCTGTTCGGACCACGTCGTTCCTGGAGTTGAAATGAAGGACAAGCAAGACAAGGAAAAGAAATTGTCGGAAGACGCTGACGACGACATCGAGTTGGAAAGAGGGCTGATACAGCATCTAGCTTCCATCCAGAGTCCCAGTCCCAGCTATTAATACATGTATTGACATCTGGATTGAAAACGAGATGAACAATGATGGCTACATCCATACTAAGTACGCGCGTTAATTAGGGGGAGTCGAACATTAAGAAATGATCCAAAAAAATAAGCAGCGACGTGTCCAATTTGTAAGCGGAGGAGTCGAACATTAAGAAATGATCCAAAAAAATAAGCAGCGACGTGTCCAATTTGTAAGCGGAGGAGTAGGTACACAATTACTGAGCAAACAGTAACCATAGAGGCCCAATTTCGCACTTAAGAATTGACAATTTGCATTCTCTAAAGCGACTACTCGCACAGACACTGCTGTGGCACCGCCACAGGCTACAGGGGCGTGTGCCCTATGCACGCTACGAGTGCAGCCTAAGATGCCGCATGGCGCGTCACCGGGCTCTCCGACCTTCTACACTACGTAGAGTAGGTGCCATTGGCGCCCTACCGAGAGCTGGTTGGTGCGCTTCAGTATCTTGTAAGGGGCTGTTTCATTTGAGATTAAGTAGAATAAAAAAAAGATAATCTAACCTAGCCTTTTATGACAAATGCTTTGATTTCATTGGCTTAGAAGTTATTCTCGGATTGTCTTTATTCTGACTTTGAAAGTCAGAATAACTTTAATCCCGGGAATAAAACTGCACAAGCTGATACCTATCGGTGGCCAGCCATGGACCATGGCTGTAGGCGTACGCTGGCATCAATCGCTCGAGTAGACGTGCGAGGCGACGTTTGGTGTAGGTAGGGATGCGTGGAATGCTTAAACATCCGACAAACGAAGCAAACATGACCTGCATCTCCTCGGGTGGCGATGCGCCCAAGGCACTCGATTTGGTACCGCCTTGTCCGCGAGCTTTTCGTAGATGGCGACGTATCAACACGTTCATAATCAATTTACACCCGTAGGAAAGCGATGGATGCAGTGTGGTGCGCAACAATATCCCAGATGAGGCTGAAGCGAGCGCGCAGCACGCTCCATTAGCGGCACGTAGTACATGTAGCTCTTCGGTAGGGAATTGTATACCTTCAAAAGTTGATATCACTTTTCCACGAGATCAACTTATTCCAAATCTGTTTCGTTTGATTCGCTATTCCTGCGAAAATATTCCGCTACTTATTCTCAAATGAAACAGAGCCTAAGTGCCCCAAGACCTGACATCGCACACGCAACCAGACATCTCGGGAAATACCTAGCCAGCTACGACCATACTTACTACGCACAAGCGAAGCGGGTATTGCGCTACCAGCATGCTACACGTGACTTTGGTCTTGTGATGGATGTTTCGTCAGCAAGTGATCTACGTGTGGGTTGTTTTTCGGATGCTGACTATGCTAATGACCCCGTTGACCGCCGCAGCATCAGTGGATACGTGACGACAACGGACAAAAATGTCGTATCCTATGCATCAAGAAAACAAGAAATTAATGCTCAGAGCACATGTGAAGCTGAGTACGTTGCAATGGCTGAAGCTACAAAGGACTTGCTGTGGCTTGCAGGGCTCTGCCGAGAACTTGCGTGGAAACACACATTACCTGTACTACTCGAAGATAACCAGGGAGCCATCTCTCTAGCGACTAAACCCGGCAAGCACAGCAAGCAAAAACACATTGACAACAAATACCACATGGTGCGGAGGAACGTGGAAGTACAATGGATCATTACGCAACACATCGGAACGGAGGACATGGTTGCAGACATCATGACCAAGCCACTTGCGGTGGTCAAGTTCTCTCGATTTCGAAAAATGCTGAAGGTACTGCCTATTGTGGCAGACAGTGACATGGCCGCTACTGTAAATGAGAAGGCTATATCTGCGTCAACTGCAATGCATGATACCCTGACTGCGTCACCTGCGATGCGGTCAAGTACGACGGATTAAGACATTACTGACGATGATGGCATGTAGTGTGCCTGTGTGCCGACTGGTTGAACCAGTTCTGTGTAGCTGTACCACGACACTAGCATGCAATCAACTGCGCTGGACTTCCGACATGTGCGTTTCGAGTGGGGGACTCAGCAGCTAGCAAATTGGCTATCGTACGACTATTCTTAGTGGTGTGTATGGATGAAGCGATGTGATCGCGTCGATTCGGCACTGCATCGCCGAGATCAAGTGGGAGTGTGAGATGCTATCCTGCTACTGTGAAATGCTACTTGCTACCGTCTGCTAGTGTCCAGTGCCAGACGTCATTGCCACTGCCCAAGACACTGGCAATGCCAGCACTACCGATCCGACCTACAATCCTACGCGTGTCTATGCAGTCGTACTGCATCCCGGCGTACCGATCTGCAACGCGCTCACGTGCGAGCTGCGTGCGGAAGATACCAAGGACTGTATGAAGGACGACATTGGTGGCGGTGAGCAACTGCAACTGCGTTGCAGGTGATGGTGAAATACTTAGCTTTCTATAGACTATCTTAGGTTGAGTATGTGCTAATCTAACTTTGCGGAACATGGAGGTTCAGGTGCTTGGCAGCTCTCACTCTCACAACTGTTTTTGCTATGCTGCGCGCACATCGAGTGAGAGGCAGCAAGCACCAGAACTCCGTGGTCCTGTCGTGGTACTTTGCCCGGCACTCACGTGTCCTACATATTAATTCCTATTACTCTACGCCTACTGCCCTACAAGTCTGTAGGTACTGGGTCGTAGCAGGAACAAACACCTTTGAAGTGGTCCGATCCTCAGGCGTAGTACACCCATTGCACGTCTCCATGTGAAATCGCTTGAGTACTTCAAGCACGTACTGTTTCTGGCAGTAGATAATTTGTCGACTGAGTCGGTTGATCAAGATCTCCACACCTAGTAAGTACTTCTCGGCTCCTATGGTCGTGAGCTCAAAAATTTCTTGCTGGGCGGCGGCAATTCGAACACACAGCTCACGTGGACCCATTAGCAGTAGGTCGTTCACGTATACAGCTAAAACCATAGTCATTTCACCATCCTTCTTCAGTGCGTACAAGCCGTAGTCCGACTCCTGTCTCTCAAGCCCTAGTGTCAGCAACTTGGCATGTAGAGTTCGGCTCCATACGTTAGGTGTTTGTTTAAGTCCATAGAGGATCTTCAAAAGCTTACAGATAAACGCTGGCCCATCCGTTTGAAAGCCTGGTGGTTGCTCCATGAAGATCAACTCATAGAGGTCCCCATAACAAAACGCGGTCTTTACATCGTACTGGAGGACTTCCCATCCTCGTTGAACTGCGAAGTAGAAAGCGACACGGATCATTTTACATCGGATTACCGGTGCGTAGGTCTCACTGTTGTTCACACCCAGTTGTTGTTTGAAGCCATGAATCACGAGACGAGCTTTGAATCCTATTCACTCGCCCTCGCTCGTCACGACTAATAGCGAATATCCATCTGCACGAAATAACCTTGACGCCCTTAGCTGCCGCACGTGGCACCAATTTCCATGTCTTATGTCGTTTCAGTGACTGTAGTTCAGCAAGCATCGCAGCCCTCCACTGAAGTTAATGCTTACTCCGGCGTGCCTGCTTGTAGGCCGTCGGTATCTAAATGTCCATATTGATAGACATCACATTGCCCACCACATCGTCAAGAAGCCGTACATTTGGCTTTTGCGTTCGTCGAGGTTGCGTGAAACATGGTTGAACAGGAGGATCTCGAATCTCAAAGTCTTTCGTCACCTTCTTTCCCGTTTCAAGTTTCTTTCGCGTCTTTCGTTTTCGTCGCTTGCTGGACTTGGGTGCCGCAGATGGCTCCTTCGTCTCATCGTTCGTAGCAACTTCAACTGGTGCAGCTGAACCGGCTGGCGACTCTACCCTCTGCTCTTCAGGTAAGTCGTCTTTCGCACTCCCACTGGACTCATGTTCTTTGTCCTGTAGGTCATCAGCTATCGGCACCATCTCGAGCTGCTTCGTCACATTCGTAGACTCAGAGCTCCAACCAGGCAGGTACGTCTCCATACTAGTCTTGATGCTTACCACCGGAACACTATCGGGCAGCTGATGATCACCGTCGTGATATGCGTTCTCCAGGAGTTGCTTTACGTAAGTGCCGTCACTTGTAAACTCCTCGTAAACTCGCGTGTTTCGTCCACGTGCAGTCACGACTTGAGCCGTCTTCAAATCCAGAAATTTGTAGCGTTTGGTATCATGACTATAACCAAGTAATAGAGATAATCGTGCTCTCGGTGAGACGTGGTACGGTTCGGGGAGCCGGCAGGCTCCGACGACTCGTCCTGTCCGTCGTTCTGCATTGAGAAAAGGAAGAACGCCTACGGACACCGGAGTAGCAAGGCAGAAGCCTTACAGGGACTTGAGGGGCTTGGCAGCGCAGTGGTGGATTCGGAAGTGAGACTCTAGGAGCCCCGAGTGCGCGCAGCGCACTCCACCTTCGCCGTACCCTCGCAGCCCGTATGTTTATATTACTGTTAGAGCCCTCTTTAGCTGATCTTGTGCTGGCCGTTGAGTGTGCGCAGCAGCACTCAGGAGTCTTGTCCGCAGGACAAACTCTGCAACAGGCAGCGCCTGTGCAACGGCAGCAACGGCAGGGGTTCCGTCCGCAGGACGGCTTCAGCAGCAGGCAGCGCCTGCATAATCGCAGCAAGCTGGGACAGCGCAGCGTCCCGTTCCGGCACGTTGAGCGGTGCGGCGCACCAGCTTCAAGTGGCTTCTCCAGTGCTTCCAGGCTGGGCTTCGGCGGCGCCAGCGGCGCTCCAGCACTGGTCTCCTCTCTGG